GATCAGGTTTTTATTTCTATAGATATTTAGACAACCATTCTCTGCTCTATAGCAGCAACCTGATTCATCTAAGGTACTTAGAGATATCAAATTCCTTTTAAGTTCTGGGATATATCTAACCTTTGTTAGCTTAACCAGTTTTCCAGTGTTAAGTTTTAGTGTTATAGTTCCTATTCCTCTAACCCTACATGCATTGTTGTTCCCCATGTACATAGTTTCAAAATCAGTGATTTCAAACTCCTGGAACCAATCCCTATTAGGACTCATGTGGAATGAACACCCTAAGTCCAGCACCCACTCATTAACAGTGTCAGACATTGACACTATGAGGACCTCAGGTTCATCTAACAGGTTTTTGGTGGAGGCTAGGTTGTTTTCTGTGTTCCTATGTTTTTGCTTCTTGACCCATTCAAAACAATTCTTTCTAATGTGACCAGTTTTATTACAGAAGAAACATTTCCTAGTTTCAATTTTGTTCTTGTTATTTCCCTTCCATTTTTTCCTATTTTTAGTCCCCTGATTTGTATGGTTTCCCTTCCCTATCTGACTAGACTCAACTTTGCTCTTGACAAACAGGTTTGTGCCATTTCTTTTCCGGACCTTTAGTTCTAATTCTACAGCCTTAAGCCCTGCTATTATTAGGTCTAGATTTGGTACAGTACCAAAGTACTATAATGCATTTTTGACTACTTGGTAGTCATCTGTCAGGGAGTTCAAAAGAATCACCGCGAGGCTAGTCTCTCCTAGTTCTTGATCTATCCCTTTTAAGAATTCATCTAGGTTCTCTTCTATACTCCTAGAACTGTCCATTTTATAAGAAAATAAAGCACCATTTAAAAAAGCCAAATTAGGGGTAGATTGCAGTGTATACAAGGAATTGAGTTTACCCATAAGCCAAGTGGTGATTCGATTCCGTCTACCTTTCTGAGGACACTTTCGGACAGGTTCATGACTATCAGGTTGTAGGCTTCTTCATCGGTTTCCTCCTTCTTCTTCAGCTTTTCCTCTAGCCACTTCTCGTGATCGCTTTCCAGTGCGAGAGCCACCTTGTTATGGGAGAGGAGTGCTTTCATCTTTTTCCTCCAACTCCCAAAGTCAATCTTCCAATCATATTGGGATATTTCCTTTCGGGTGGTGGTGTTTGTCATAGTAAGGTGTTTGGTTTTGAATGGTGAGGTTGCAAGTTTAAGAAATCAAAAATGTTCTTGAACTTCAAGAAACAGAGAAAACCCTAGATTTCTACCCTGTATGAAATCTAAGCACGTTTGATCAGAATCCTACACTACGGACTCCTAATTTGATTTTGAAACCCTAAAATTGAGAAACCCCCAAATTTTTCAACAATCAAAAGAAACCCTAGAAATTTTAGATCGAAAAATTGAGACTCCGATTTTCTCCCCTAATCTTTTTGCCTAAGCTCTGATACCACTGTTACAGCCACACCTCAATCCAACCAAAAACACCCAACAATTTAAAGAACAACACAGATCACACACACAAGAACACAAAGATTTACTGTGGTTCACTTGCTCAGTTTGAGCAAGCTATGTCCACGTTGAGCTCGGGAAACAAGTGAGCTCATTGCACTAAATTTATCAAGATCATAGTACAGATTACACACCAAATATCAAAACCCCTCAAATCTTCTTCAAGAACCTATAACTCACACTAGGGACCCTATCCCTAGAATCCCTAATGATCTATGTATGCTAACACACCTAAATGATCTAAAACCAGCCACTTGATTAATAGTTACAAGATTTAAACCACAAAAATCACAAACCCTAACAGACTTGATTTTTGCTCGATGAAGAAGAGAGAGATACAATGCTATTCTATTCAATCTGCCTTGTTTGACTGCTTTTATATGGTTGACCAAGTGACTCACTCACACCGTTGGATCTTCAGCCAGCCCCACCATTAGCTCAAAATGACATTGCTTCATTTAATGATAAAACGTCACTGTTTAAAGCCATCACAATAACATACATAATATTAAAATAAAATATATCGTAAAATATTATATTATAATATTCAATAGTATCTAATACAGTACAACTTAACATGCTCTTACTCCATTCGAAAAGTGATGAGAAGAATTTATTTTAATTCAAAACTAAAAGTTTACCAACTTTATTCACATTAACAGCAATAAAAGTAGAGACTTCAGAGTATTGGATCCCTGAGCAATGACACAACATGATCTTTAAGTTGAGTACCATCACTGAAGGCATCGATTTCATCATCTTGGTACATTAATTCCATTGAATGACAATAAGTTAGAATCCGTTCAAGCAAAGGCAACGGCACAATAGTTGGTTTGAGCATGGCCTCGTTCACATCTTTCCAAGCTTCTGCAACCTGTTCCAGAAGAAACTTGTTAGAGTCATGAAAGTGACTCTGTTTTGTTGATAAAAAGATCCCATATGTAATTGAATTGAAGTTATATTGAGACAATTAAGAGAAATTATGAATTTATGTATAAAAATCATATTTTGAGTTTTTCTTACTAATTTAGCATATTTGGGATGAATTTGGAAATTCTGTGAGTCGATATTAGGTTGTGGTTTATGGATTAGGGTTGATTTATGCTACTCAGGGGGTAAAATGTCATGTTTTAAGAGGTTGATTTTGTCACTTTTCAATCATGTTGGGACCAAATGGAAATTTGCCATATTTTGTAAAAAAAATGCAGCTTATGGTCGCAGATTGGGGGGCTACCGCCCACCAAAACCCTTCACCTTCTCTGATCAAGTTCCGACGACCCTTCGTATTCCCCTTCACCGATCATCTCCATCGTCCTGGATCACCACCGTGATAACGCATCTCCATCGCAAATCACGCCGCATTTTCCGACGGCGCTTCGCATTCCAGCCATGTTGGGCCATTTCCAGTGATGGTTGGGCTCCCCAAGACTTGATCTTCCTTCCCCACAGCCGGATCTAGCACTTCTAAGCTTCAGCCGCCGCAAAAACCACTAGAATCCGCCAAATAGCCACCGCGCCTCTTCATCTTCCAGCCAAGATCTCGCTCATTTCCAACGACCTTTCACCTCCCCAGGACCTGATCTGAACTCCCCATCACAGAGCTTTCCACCGGTACCTTCGGATCCCATTTCCACCACCATTTTTCGGAAGACCCACCAGAAAATGAACATTTTCTGGCAAGTGTGACTGTTCTTATTCCGGGCTGTCTGTTGATCATTTTTGCCTCTTCATCACATCATATCGCTGTCGGTTACTTCCTCTCCACCATGATCAGCTTCGTTTCCACCGTTTAAGCCTCCGTCAACACCATCATGAGCGGTTCAGTTCCCAGTTGTCTGTTACAGTGTAGGCGAGATCGAGATTGACTCCATTGCTCTCTTCATCAGCTCTCGACTAGTTGGATGAGCTAGAATGTTGGACATTTGGTTAAGTTTCTTGTATTCAGATTATATTTGTTTTCATTTCAGTTTGTTTGCGATGCTTTAATGTTATTCTGATGCTTGACATGCTTAATTGATAATGTCCATTGAGAACGTTTATTGATATATAACTTTCGCATAATTGAATGTCGGTTTGAGATTATTGAATTAATGTTGATTATGACTTTAAACTGCTTCGGTAATGATTGCAATCAAGTTGTATTAGCATTTAATATCATTTCTGCTATGAATGCATTTGTTGTGTAATTAGTTTATTGGATGATACAAGTTGATAGGTTGTACTTGTTAACGTTGTACCAACTAGTGGTGTTTAAGGGTTTAGCATTTTTCGGTTAGTCAATGATAGTCTTTAACCAATCGATCTGCAACTAAAACGACGGGGAGACAAGATAGATTATACCTAGATTGTCGAGAGATATTTTTATTGATTTGCCTAGCCTTGTAGGTTTAGGAAATTAAGGAGCGAGGAGAGGAATTGTGAGAGTTGGTCTTGAGTCAAACCAAACCCGTAGCGGCAACGCTTTTAATATTGTGTTTTAGTTAGCAATTTATTTGATGTTTTTAGTTTCCTGCAATTAATTAGTTTCCTTAGTTTTAATCAATCATTTTGCCAATTTCTCTTTCGTTAACTCAAATAATACATTTGGTCATTAGTCTTGCTCTCTGTGGATTCGACCCTGCTTACCGCTAACTACGGTATTTAGGTTTAATTTTGTGACCGTGATGACCAGTTCAACAAAACTCAACAACCACATCTTTAGAAACACCATGCTGCTTCATGTAGCATTCAACAGCTGAGGCAACATGTCCTCTCTTTTGCTAAGAGTAATTCATATATAACATATGCATATTGTTAGATAATTAATTTTAACTATTATCCAAAATATATAACTTATTGTCGTAAACAATTAATTATTGAGCATTTTTTATTATTTATATTCATACCCTGTGTGAGGCTTTGTCATCCAAGAATCTGCCGATAATACCCGCTGCTCTTATAATCTTATGATCAGAGCATAACCAATCAAAATCCTCTTTATTTGCACACATGGCTAAGAAGCTCATCGCTGTCAACAATCGGGGCTACCACTTTCAAGTGCAGCAGTCATATATTCTTCTCAAGTACTTGGAAAATACCCTTTATTGAACCATACGGCTTCAGCATAATATCCTTCTCCCATTCTTTGCAACTGAGGACAATATAATCAAACTCGATATTAATAACCTCACCCAAGAAAGTGAAAACAAATTTGAATAGAAAGTGACACTCTAATCACGTCATTCAATGAATAGCGGTAGAAATTGTTTTTTTACAGCAAGACAATTTTTGTTGTTTATTATTGCTGATACTGTACACATTTTAAAGTTAAAATTGAGAAAAATTATTTACGCCATGCGTAAAACCACACGAAGGGTAACCACTTGTAAGCGGATGGATAGAGGGGCTTATGGTTGAAAGTGTTCTCCGATCTTAGTTTGAGTTGTACTAAGGGGTGATCAATTATCATATTAAAAAAAAAAAAAAAAAGGTGCAAAGCTTAACATATATCACCTACCAACAATTTTGCATAATCTACGCTGTCTGCTCTTCCTTACTCCTAACTTCCTCCATTTCAGGTAAAAAATCTAAGAGTGTCTTATAAATAAATTTCATGTAATCTGGAAGCATATCTATGGCGCCAATGTCCCATCTGAAAATCAATTAACCATTCACATTCCTTATAAAAATTGAAGCCAGAGTTTGAGAAAATTAAAATGATTGTTAATATATAATTTCTAAATCTATTATGAAATTCAGAGGGTTCAATTTAAGCTATATGCAATATGTTTATAATTAACCTTCTGATTGCTTCCATTAAAAGTGTGAGTTCTTCAAGCGTACCATAGGAATCGTACGTATCATCCAAGACAACTAAAAGACATAAAAGTTTCGTCTTATTCTCTATGCCACAAGCATATTGTGGCTCAAAGATCATTGCCAAGACCCAAAGATATTCTTCCACCAATCGGTCTCTACTATATGGCAGCTTCGTGGTCAATTCTAGATTTTTCCGCCACCGAAAATTATACAGCTTCATTTATGTCATAACCAATATCGCTTTACCATACCTATAAAAACTGAAGAAAAATAAATAAACATAGTTCCTCTGTACAAGTTAGCATAGGCAATTAATATTAAAAATTAATGAACAGGGAGAAATATATGTAACTCGTTTTCACCTCACCATATATATGATTTTGATTGTTGATAACTTCACTAATATTCTAAAACTCTTCAAATTTTTTTTTTTTTTGGGGGGGGGGGGGGGGGGGGAAGATACCAAACAAATCGGCTTGTTTGAATAAAGCTAGATTTGAAAAAATCTTCTCCAAATTTGATCTAAAGTCAGGATTTTAGCAGACCAGGATGGCGGAGTCAAGCATTCCTTTGACGGCTTTCACCTGTCCGAAAGGATTGTTTGAATGGATGGTTTTGCCTTTTGGACTTAAGCAAGCACCAACAATATTCCAGAGGAAAATGGATCAAGTTTTTGGAGACTTATCCAACTTTTGTATAGTCTATGTTGATGATGTTTTGGTTTTTAGTAAGGGGGTGCGGGTGTGGGTGGGTGCTGAACAACCTTTAATAAAATAAAATAAAGCTCCAAATCAATTTTGTGATGTAATTAAAAGTATGAACTTACTTTAAGATATCACTGAGTTGCTTCCGGTGCCTCAGTTGAAGTATGTTATAGTCCAACTTCGCAAATTTAAGCAAAGTTTTATTGTGAGAATCATCTCTTGCATAGGTGGACATGAAAAATCTTGCCTCAAGCCTTGGTACGCTCTTACGGAAAGAAAATTTCAAAGTATGATTTATTTCTTCTGCAAGGTGAGTGCTTACACGAGATGCCATTGACTTAAGCTGAGTGGCTGTAAAAGCGAGGGCTTCATCCAGAATATCTTCGCCATGAATAGCGAAGTGTGCTGCCTCACCCAAATTTAGCATTCCTTGAACATCATTAATCAAGGATGACTTGAATTTCCTATCAACATCTTTGAACTTTTCAAATACATCTGCTCACAACAACAATATGTTCATATTTTATTAATTTCATGAGTGAGTATTACGAATATTATTTGACATAGCTTACTTACCATAGGAAACCTTAATTCCTTGTTGTACAATAAAATCTTTTTATAATAATACTCGATATAAGAATAATTTATATGTAATTATAAAAAATTATGGTTCTAACTTGAGCCAGTTATAAACAACAATAAATTTCATGTTATATTAAATTATAATTTTTCTAGGTTCCGTTTTAAGAAACTTGCATATATATAGTAATAATTATATGTATATTACAAAAAATATACACTATTTTACATGAAAGGTTTAAGATAAAATAAAATATTTATTTAAAATTGTTTAAAACAATGATTTATGTTTAGAGTTGTTACCAAATCTTTTATCTTGCAGGTACGTAATAAGTCGTCAGCATGGACACCTTCTTATTGAAGCCAAAATATTTCTAACTTCTCAAGCATGTTTAGAGCTTCTTGGCTAAAAACTTTTAGTATTTCTGTATTATCATCCTTAAGATTATCTCTTTCCTCTTCTTATCTAATTTTAGTAATGATTTATTCCTCAATTAAAACATACACAACTTAGTTACTCACTTGGATTATTGAGTAAGAAATTAATATTCATTTGATTAGTGTAGTGAAGTTGTCGAATTTGACCACTCAATTCATTTGGACTACTAAGACATTGTTAGAATGAAGGACAAATGTGAAATTAGCCAAATAGGAAAACGGTGTCGTCTAGACTTTCATGCAATACTTGCTTAAATACTCATCACGTGTACTCTGAAAAGTTAGTTAGAAAAGAAAGCAATTTCAATTTTGCTTCCTCTATTTTTCTCTGCATTATTTTTCTTGTTCTTGATTCAGAAACTTCTTCTTTATTCTTTCATGGTATCAGAGCCTTAGACACATGCCTTTGGCAAGATTTGCTCTTGTGTTCTTTTGTCTTCTGTGTTTGTTTTCAATTCAACTTACTGTTAGTCCAATTTTCTATTTGTGGAAATCTCTCTGTGAAAAACAAATGCAAAATACCTCGTGCAAATGGAGAATCCAACTACACCGCCAACGCTACCTTCAATCTTTGTCAAATTGAGCGACAAAAATTATAACTATTGGAAGTCTCAAATTCTTCCAGCTCTTACTGGTCATGGACTTGAAGGCCATATCACGGGAGAGAGGGTTTGTCCTCCGATGTTTATAATTGACAAATCAAATGAGTCTGAGCAACCGAAGAAAAGAGGTAACCCTAACTACTTCTCTTGGCAATGAATTGATCAGTTCTTGGTGAGCTAGTTAAATTCTACCATTTCTGAATCTATTTTTCGTCATGTTGGAAAATGCACTACTACCTATGATATCTGGAACACACTAGAACTACATTTTCATTCAGCCTCTAAGGCTCGAACTCTACATTTAAGAAGTCTTTTACAAAGTACTAAGAAGGATGCACTTACTATGAATGAGTATGTTTTGAAAATGAAGGAATTAAGTGATGAGTTAGTAGCCAGTGGAGTCTTAATCAATGAGAAGAGTTGTTATTATACATACTAGATGGGCTAAGGCCTGAATATGATGCTGTTGTAGCCAACTTAACAGCAACTAGCAGTCAGGTTACTCTATAGAAAGCTCAGTATCTTCTTCATAAACATGAAATTCGACTTGAAAGACAACATAATGTGTATTCTAATTTGTCTGATCATTTAGCTTCAGCATTGCTTGCTAAAAAACAAAGTGAAACTGCTATCACTGTAAATTCTCAGTTCAAGAATGGTAATATGACAGCCTCTGTATCAGTTAATGCATCATCACACTTTGGGAATCCGAGTGTTCAACCTGTCTATTCTCTTTCTCAATACTTGACTTCGCAAAATGGCTATTCTGATGGTAGTAATATGTTTTCACATGAATACCGACCTGAATTTTGTCCTCAGTTCTCTCACTATCCTGGAATGATGATGTTTGGTTCTAACATGCAAAGAGGACGAGGCAAAGGTCGAGGAGGCTATTTTTGACCTAAACTCATCTACCAAGTATGTGGGAAGACTGGTCATTCTGCTCTCCACTGTTATCATCATTTTAATCATGAATACCAGGGTCTTACTGGCTCACTTCCTGTTCACTCAACCAACATCACAAGTCCTAACTATACTGATGCTTCGACTCAAGCACTAATGGCAGCAAGAGTCATGCCTCCTTAGCCCCTCTCATATTCACCCTATGGATCTCAGCCTAATCATGGCTCAATTGGTTTTTCATCTCAACATCATGTTTCACCTCAATCACAACTGTACAATGTGCCTAAATCATCACCTTTGATAGCTCCAGTTACTAGTAAAGGAGTTACCTCTAATCCAGCAATCACATGTCTATCTGAGCAACAAGGTTCCTTCGTACCTGCTACTCTTCACACCTTAAATGATCAAACCTGGTTTGTAGATTTTGGAGCTACCAACCACTTGACTATAGATCCTCAGAGCATGCTTCTTTACTCAGCTTATCAAGGAGGTACCCAGGTTCAGGTTGGTAATGGACATACAGTCCCCATTACACATACAGGTATTAACTTTTTACCTTCTGATTTCTCTCCTAAGGTGTTGAATTTGAGAAATATGTTGTGTGTTCCTAGTATAGCCAAAAATCTCTTAAGCGTTTCACAAATAACAAGGGATAATGATGTTATTGTTGAATTTCATGCTGCACATTGTTTTATAAAGGAAAAAACAACTAAAGATATACTTCTACAAGGGAGTCTAAAAGATGGGCTATATCAATTGCACATCTCTATGCCATCTTTTGGATCTCTTAGTGCAGCTATGTCATCTATGGTTTCCTCACCTGCAGTTCAAGATTTCTATCCTTAACTTAATGTAGCAGCAAATAAAGATTCAGTTTCACAAGCTGGACCTTCTAGTTTTAATTCTAATTTGGCAGCAAATAATTTTATTCCTATCAACTCTGTACTGGATACAAAACTTAGTACTACTTTGTTATGGCATGCTAGGTTAGGTCATCCTTAAGAGAAGAGCTTGAGAGTTGTGTTGAACAAAATAAATGTATCTGGTTACTTTGGCAATAAAACATCCTTTTGTGAGGTTTGTCAATGTGGTAAAATGTAACAAGCACAATTTCCTAAACTCATTCTCACTCACAAGCTCCACTTGAATTAGTATATTATGACTTATGAGGACCTGCCTCTGTTAAATCATCTGAAGGGTTCTGATACTAGATCATCTGTGTGGATGACTACAACAGATTTATGTGGATGTATCCGTTGAAAGCCAAGTCTGAAGCATTTCCTATCTTTACAAAGTTTCATTGTTTGGTTGAAAAACAGTTGAACCATAAGATTAAATGCTTGCAAAAAGAATGGGGAGGTGAATTTAGGACATTTTCAAAGTACCTAGATCAACATGGCATGCTATTTAGACATCCGTGTCCCTACTTACACTAGCAAAATGGTCAGGTAAAGAGGAAACATAGAGCCATTACTGAATTTGGCCTAGCATTACTTGCACATGCTGCTATGCCACTTTGTTTCTGGTGGAAACCTTAGTACTACAGTTTTCTTGTTAAATAGACTGCCCTCAGCTTCTCTTGATTATTCAACTCCTTTTACAATGCTATTTGGTCAAGAACCAAACTATAATGACCTAAAGGTGTTTGGATGTTGTTGCTATCCCTTCATCAGACCCTATCAGAAGCAAAAGTTCTCTTATCACATTAAGAAGTGTGTATTTCTGGGCTATAGCCTAGTTCACAAAGGCTATAAGTGTATGTCTTCATCAGGTAAGCTGTATATTGTTAAGCAGGCCAAGTTAAATGAATGTGAGTTTTCATTCAAAACTAATTTTAAGAATGTTTCATGTGAAGATAGTGAGGTTGTTGGATTGATTAATGCTCCTATTTTCCAAAGTTCCTAGCAGCTTCCAAATTGCTCTGTTAGCTTATCAGATTCAATAGACACAAGTTCAACTGAGTTTTGTGTAGTTTTAACTCTTGAACATCAATCACCAGTGGTGTCCACTCAATATAATCCTACAAATCCACGTGAATCAGTCTCTGCAACTCAACATAATGTATCACCAGTAGCGCCCATTTCAAGCTCCAGGTTACAAAGAAATCAGTCTGCTATGCTGCCTTTTTGCTTTGAATTAAATTTAGTCTCTGCAGCTAAACATAATGTATCATCAACAGTGCCTATTCTAGGCTCCAGGTTACAAAGAAATCAATCTGCTATGCTGCCCTCTTTCTCTGAATTAAACTCAATCTCTATAACTCAATATAATGTATCACCAGCAATGTCTATTCCAAGCTCCAGGTTACAAAGAAATCAATCTGCTATGTTGCCCCCTTGCTCTAAATTCAACATCTCTCCATCACATATTGATCAACCACCTGACATATGCACAACAAATCCAAAGTGCGGACCTTCTTCTAAGGGTCTAGGAATTTAGTTCGAAGTAGATCTCTGTTTTCCTAAGTCACGCACATAGAATGCTTATCCGATGGTGACCAAGTCCAAAAGCAAGTCAAATTCATCTAACCTCTGTGCCTATCTATCAACTCAGAAAATCTTAACAGAGCCCAAATCTACAACTGAGGCTCTAAACACACCAGAATGGAAATATGCAATGCTGACAGAATACAATGCTATTATAAACAATCAGACCTGGGAATTGGTGCCTTGCATGCCTAGATGAATATAGTAAGCAGCAAATGGGTGTTTAAAACTAAACTAAATTCTTATGGATCCTTGCAAAGGTATAAAGCAAGGCTTGTTGCAAAGGTTTTTCAACAAACACTAGGCTTGGATTATTTTAAGACTTTTTCACCTGTTATCAAAGTTACCACCATAAGAGTCATGCTATCCTTGGCAGTTCATCATCAATGGAATATTTAGCAAATCGATATCAACAATGCGTTTCTTACTGGTGAACTAACCGAGACTATTTACATGTATCAATTAGAAGGCTTTGCTAATTCAAATTTACCAAAGCATGTTTGTAAGCTACATAAAGCCTTGTATGGCTTGAAATAAGCTTCTAGAGCTTGGTTTGA